TGCGGATTTCTATTATAAATACAATATATGTAAGTGAAAGTTTCTTTACAATTGAAATGTAAGATTTTATTAGATTATTTCCAACAATATATCAATTAATCTTAATTATGATTTATATAATTTTTTAAGAGATTTTTGAAATCAAAATAAATATATAACATTATATAAACATTAATAAATGTTGGTGGAAACTCATTTCTGGCTTATTTAGTATTCTATTTTTTGTTACGAATTAAAATTTTATATAATAATGTTGATTATAAGATATTTTGAGATGCGATTTTATTGCATATACATACAAAAAATGTTTTAAATTTGTAAAATTTAATTGTGTGTTTTGTCACAATTAAAAAGTTGTTTTTGATTTCTTGATAATCAAGAAATTTTCGTGGGAAATTTATTGCGATTTTAGAAAAAATTGGACATGATTTTTATTATCTATTTGTGCATACACATACATCTGTTTATATTCAATTCTTCAGCAAAATATTAAAAATATAATCTTCATTATAATTTTTGATAAAAAAATGAAAATGTGCAAATGAAAAATACTTATTAATTTTATGAAAGCTATTTAATTCTCTTTAATATTTTTAATTTTTTCAAGTATAATAAATGATTTTTCATTTTTCCTTGATATATAAATAGAAAATACCAGAAAATGTACATAATAAAGAAATTTATTTAATAGGTTTGTATTTCAAAATTCTTTAATTGTACTTCAAATTTTGAACAAAAATACTTGATAGATCTGAAAATTTTCGAAGAAGTTTTTTTACAAATTTTTAATAAATACCTGAAAAATTCGTTGTTAATTTATTTTTTTGTTTCTAAAATACTTTGAATTTAATTAATGAAAAAATTAAAGAAAAAGAAAGAAAAAAGGAAAGAATTTCAAAAAGGTATTAAAAATGTAGATGAAAATATAATTTAATGAAAAAAAGATATATCCCTTTTTCTTTAAATCGATAATTTTAATTGATGAATTTTTAATTGTAAGATTTTGATAGAGAAAGGGAGGAAAAAGGGGCAAGTTCTTTCTACCGGTAACGAATGCTATTACAATTTAAGATCGAATTCTCAATCTATTGCGTGCTTATATAAACACGCAATGTCGCCATTACTTCATTTTTTTTCATGCGAATAAAAAAAAACTTTGTAGTTTTAACAATAAAGGACGATGTATAAATAAATTTATTTTACATATATATATATGTAAGATAAATTTTATTTAATCATAATTATTACATTAGCCTTAAAATTTATTAAGTTGATGGAACAATTTTATTGCACTAATAAAGAAAAGATTGTCAAATGTTTTTTTATTTTAATAGAAGAATTAAATAATATAAGCAATTTTTTTATATACTTCTTTTGTTTTAATTTTTTAAAGTTTTTTTCTTTTCTTTGTTTTAAAGAAAAATAAAAATGTAGTCTTATGGTAACTTTATAATTATTGAGTTTTAAGAATTTATATTTTGCCTTTATATTCCTGCTACTTTAATAATTCACACATTTTTTTATATGAAATTTTATATAGACATTTTTCTAATAAACATTTTTAATTAATTAATTTTTTAGACGCGAAAAGAAACATTATTATTATTTTTTTTATTATTTATTTGTATTAATCAATCTTTATTTAATATAATATATTTTAATATAATATCTAGAATTTATCTTCCATTTATTAATTTATATCATAGTATCTTTTAATTTATATTATGATTTATATAATTAATGGCCAATTAATTTGAGGATAAATCCAAGTCAGATCACTCAGATTAATCGATTTAATATAATTACTTCAAAATCACTCGCAAGAAATTGAAAATGATTGAATGATGGAAATACCAGAATTGAACAAATAATCTTGTCACGAGGTCGCCAGGTTCGCTCATAGTGTCGTTCAGTTGTTGGATGAGGTCAAGGTTTACGGATGCCTTGAAAACTTGACTTTGCTCAATACACCCAAGTGTGGGAGTCTAGCATATAAGGATCAAACAAATTCAATCGTAACATTTTTTTAGTGTTTGATTATTTTGTGATAAATATATATAGATATATTTCTTTTGAAATAATTGGATAGCTCTTTCGATATACCAAAAGCAAATGGAAGGACGATTTTTAATTAGAATTAAACTATATGAAAATTTCAAAAGAAATTCCTAATTATCTAAAAATACATGAAATTATTATTCGAAATTTTTCGATTATAATTTTTCTATAGAAAGAGAGAGAGAAAGAGGGAAGACAACCTCTCTTTACCGGTTCCTATTGATTATATTGTAGCAATGCGGATCGTCCTTCTTCACCATCGAATTTTCAACAGCGCTGTACCTCTACAGGTCGATTTACAAAAAGATGATATAATATGAAAATCTATTTTTAATAAATTGTGAAAAAAATTTTACAAGACAAATTCATTATAATGCTATTAAATTTAAAAAATTAAATATTTAATGCTCAAACTATTGTACATGTAATTTCTTGATGTTACAAAACAATTTACGAGAATGTACATCTTAGAATCTGATTTTTGAGAAGATTTAGAATGAAAAATTTGAAATGAGAGCGATTTTGAATAATACTTTCGAATATATTTAAATTATCGTATATTTTTAAACACTTTGGGAGGATTACAAAAGTAGTCTTTTTTTTTTGTGAAACAATTTTTTTCTCACATTCATTTCTGCCTTGCATTAACTGGAATTTTTTTTTTGCTGAATTTCTTATATACCTTTCTTAAAGCTTTTTTGTTTATTATTTTGCGTAATTTCTGCTTTTGATTTATTTTAATGTTATTGCGACTTTTTTATTTGCTGTTTTTCTTAGTTTATTCTATTTTTTATTATCCCGTAATATTTTATATTTTATTCTATAATTAATTACTTTCATAATAATTGTATATTATATATATATATATATATATATATATATATGTATATATGTATATATATACAGGGTGAGGAAAAAGTATGGAAACCCCTAAATTTTTCGAAAACTATGCATTTTAGAAACAAATGTTTCAGACAAAAGGTTGTAAGGTTTCAAGTAATACATTCCGTAGCAATCAGTATAACCTTGAATAGCACCGTTAAGGTCACATAAAAATCACTTTGAATTTTTTAAATGAAACCCCCTATTTTTTATTACACATTCTTATAACTTGTTTCAAGAGCTTTCCAAAACACTATATTAAAGTGTTTTTTCATTGAGTACTTTTCGAGTTATGAGGCTCAAAATAATTTCTTAATTTTACATAAACCATAAACAATAATATATTTTTTCTTCAAAACTATGTTTTTTTATTACATTAATTGATTCTTCACATTATTTTATGCATAAAAGTATGAAGGTGAGATAATAAAAAATGAATATTTTATTAAATTTTATGGATTAGGAAAATTAAGAAATGATTTCAAGCCTCATAACTCGAAAAGTACTCAATGAACAAACACTTTAATATAGTATTTTGGAAAGCTCTTGAAACAAGCTATAAGAATGTGTAATAAAAAGTAGGGGGCTCCATTTAAAAAATTCGAACTGATTTTTATGTGACCTTGACGGCGCTGTTCAAGATCATACTGATATTGCTACATAATGCGTTACTTGAAACCCTACAATTTTTATCTGAAACATTTGTTTCTAAAATGCATAATTTCCGAAAAATTTAAAGGTTTCCATACTTTTTCCTCACCCTGTATATACAGGGTGTCCCAAAACTCATAATCAATCTTTTAAAGACAGATTCCTGGGATCATTTGGAGACAATTTTTCCTCAGCGAAAATGTCGATGAAGACCATCATTTTTTGCATGTTCCCAATTTTTGTTATCATATATCTTTGCAATTAAGCCTTAAATTAAAACTTAACTAAAGTAAACTCTATTTAAAATTAATTGAAGAATGTGGTTTTGTTAATAATTTATTTCTACAAAGCTTAGTTTACGAAAAACCCTTTATTTCCAATCACTTACAATTCGAAAATTATTAGTGCTTCGACATTTTCGTTGAGGAAAAATCGTCTTCAGATCCCAGGAATCTGTCTTTGAAAGATTGATTATGAGTTTTAGGACACCCTGTATGTATATATATATATATATATATATATATATATATATATATACACAATTCTATAATAATATAAAATTTAGAAACTAAAATCTCTCTTTCTGTCTCTTTCTCTTATTTAATGATATAAAGATGTAAAAATATAAGAATAATAAATTAATATATCGAGTATCTCGTCCCGTGAATCGTCCTGTATACGTGTCTGCTCTGTCGGAACGGCAAGAGCGCCGCTTTATCGCAATGCGCCGACGTCGAAATATTGACTCGACGATACCGCATGTTAGAGACCAGCACGTAGACAGCTCTAATACCGCCCTGAAGACATGGGGTAAGTTTTCTCTCTCCTCATCCTCGTCTTTCGTTTTGTCGGCGACTCTTCGATCATGTGTTGCCGATTCATTGCGCGACTTCGAAATTTATCATTAATGTTGTCCTTTTATCGGACTCTTCGATAACCGAGTCCTTCCTCGGTTTCTAATGTCCTTGATACCCCGGAAGCGCTTTAGCCCTTGTCGACCATTTTGCAAAAATAAAACTGTGCTATTTAAAAATATCTGACACATCTGAATGTATAACATGTGAATAATAAATTATCTCTAAATGTATATATGAGGGTGAACATTTTTTATTTATTTTATATTTATATCATTTTTATTTATTTTATTTTATTTAGGTATTTATTTTATTATTTTATTATTATATATTATTTATTTTATTTTATTTAGATATTTATTTTATTATTTTATTATTTTATTATTTTATTATTTAGATAACCATTTATATTTTACCTATTTATATTTTCTGATTATAAAATATAAATATTAAATCTTTTATGATAAAATATAAAATGTGTAGAAAAAAATAAAATTCTTCAGAAAATATTTTTTTGCTTTACAGATGTAGATTAATTTTTGCTCTTATTTTCAGTAAAAAAATCGAAAACATAGGCAGAATGACGGCGATGACGCAGGAGGAAATCGTGGCCGGTGCACGAACGGTCGCTCAAGGCTTGGAAGCACTTCGAGTTGAGCATGGTGGCTTGCTACAGGGCTTGCAAGCTCAGGATGCACCAGCTGCCCGCGACAAGGCTAGTCTGTTGTCCAAGATCATCGAAATGATCGATTTGGGCCTAGGCGAGGCGCAGGTAATGCAGGCGCTAACAAATCATCTGCAAATGGTGGAGGCGGAAAAGCAAAAACTGAGGACACAAGTGAAGAGGCTATGTCAGGAGAATGCTTGGCTCAGAGATGAACTCGCTGGTACTCAACAGAAATTACAAGCGAGCGAACAAGCCGTAAGTATCTATGATATATCACTTTTAATTTATACAGGATGAGGAAAAAGTATGGAAACCCTTTAAATTTTTCGAAAATTATGCATTTTAGAAACAAATGTTTCAGACAAAAGTTGTAGGGTTTCAAATAACGCATTATGTAACAATATCAGTATGACCTTGAACAACACCGTCAAGGTCGCATAAAAATCAGTTCGAATTTTTTAAATGGAACCCCCTATTTTTTATTACACATTCTTATAGCTTGTTTCAAGAGCTTTCCAAAACACTATATTAAAATGTTTTTTTATTGAATACTTTTCGAGTTATGAGGCTTGAAATCATTTCTTAATTTTACATAAACCATAAAATATTTAATAAAATATTCATTTTTTATTATCTCACCTTCATACTTTTATGCATAAATAGATAATGTGAAGATAAGATAATGTGATAAGATAATGTGAAGAATCAATTGGTATAATAAAGAAAAAACATAGTTTCGAAGAAAAAATATTTTATTGTTTATGGTTTATGTAAAATTAAGAAATTATTTCAAGCCTTATAATGCTATTCAAGGTTATACTGATATTGCTATGTAATGCATTACTTGAAACTTTACAACTTTTGTCTGAAACATTTGTTTTTAAAATGCATAGTTTTCGAAAAATTTAGGGGTTTCCATACTTTTTCCTCACCCTGTATACATAACACGATATCTACTGTCCCTGGGAAAACATGGAAAATCTAAAATTCTCTGGGATTTCTTTTATACTTGGAAAAATCAGGCAATTTTTATAGAAGTGTGTTCTGATCCAGGGAATTTTTTTAAAAATTTTCTTTGATGATTTTATTCTCTCCTGTGAACAATCGATAAGTCAAATGAATTATATTTTTAAAATGCAAATATATATTTATCTTCATAAACGTATATTTATCTCTATTTATTCAATCTTCTAAAATATTGAATATAAATTCATTATTGTTATTTTTAGTGATAAAAAAAATGGAAATTTTATCTAAATGGAAAATAATTTTTTTACGAAAGTTCTTCAATTTTTTTTTAGTATATTTACAAATCTCTAGAAATTAAAATTTAAAACGTCTATTAAGCTGGCACAACTATTTTAGCACAATCGAATAAAACTTATATATAAATTTAGTGCTCTTTTGTTGCTTTATTTCCCGATTTTATTTCAGCCGATTTGTAAAGTAAAAAAAAAGTTTAAAAAACCGATATATTTCTTTATCCTAATTTATTGCTAATTAGTTGCTCTATTCCCTCCATATTATTCGCTCCACTTTGAGCTCCAAAAACCCTCAATTACCTCCCAGTACCTCATATTAAAAAAGTGTTATGAAATTGAGAATTAATTAGATATCTCGATCGATAACATTTCAATGATTTTGTTGCTTCATTTTAATGAATTCGATTTTATTGCTTTATGTTTGACTTAAAAAAACTAATTGCGTTAACATATTTTAATCTTGTGAGCAAGCTAGCACTCCTTCGGATCGATTTTTTTAAGTCAAACATGGAGCAATAAAATCGGATTCATTAAAAATGAGCAACAAAATCATTGAAACATTATCAATCGAGATCTGATTAATTCTTAATTTAATAATATGGAATAACTTTGGAGGTGGTTTTCGGAGTTTTAAAAGTGGAGCAAAGAATTGGGAATAGAGCAAACAAATTAGCAACAAATTAGGACTAAAGAAATATATCGGTTGTTTTTGTTTTTTAAATTTTCTCCGAATCGGCTGGAGAACAAAATCGGGAATAGAACAACAAATTAGCAACAAAGGAGCTTTAAATTTATATATATAAGTTTTATTTGATTGTGCTAAACCTCTGATGAAGGAAGAGCAAAAGGTGAAAAGAAAATGAAACTAAATAAATTTCTTGAAAAACGTCTTTATTCATTTTCTACTATTACGTGCTATTACTAAAATGTTAGTTTAAAAAAATTATTTTATTTTCATAACAAAAGAACGATTTTTATTTTTTATTTTTATCGTTTTTTTTTTTTTCAAGAAATTTATTCAGTTTCATTTTCTGAAGTGGCTGTGTCAGTTTAATAAACGTAAATTTAAAAGTTCTGTGTTTTTTTTTCATATATGCGAAAACTATTAGAAAACAGTTTATTTTAATTGATTATAAAACTTTTAAAAATGTAATTCGAATGCATATTAAATTTATATTGTCAAAAAATATTAGTTTGTGTGAGTGAGGAGAAGCCGATAAATGGAAAAGCCCAGGCTCAATTGATGATGCAACACTTTTTTGCATCACAATATAAGGTTTATTTAGATTCTTAAAGAAAACTTAATGACTTTTAAAAAAATTCTATACAGGGTGGCCCCGAACGTTCCAGCCAGACTTTGAGACCTTATAGAAAATTTAATTCTGAACAAAAAATTTTCTATAAACTTGGGTAAAAAATGCTTTCTTAAGAAGTTATTGCTCAAAAACCTCTGATGAAGGAAGAGCAAAAGGTGAAAAGAAAATGAAATAAAAAGAAAATGAAACTAAATAAATTTCTTAAAAAACGTTTTTATTCATTTTCTACTATTACGTGCTATTACTAAAATATTAGTTTAAAAAAAATTATTTTATTTTCATAAAAGAAAAAGATTTTTATTTTTTATTTTTATCGCTTTTTTCAAGAAATTTATTTAGTTTCATTTTCTTTTGCTCTTTCTTCGTTAGAGGTTTTTGAGCGATAACTTCTTAAGGAAGCATTTTTCGATCCATGTTTATAGGAAATTTTTTGTTCAGAATTAAATTTCCTATAAGATCTCAAAGTCTGGCTGAAATGTTCGGGGCCACCCTATATAACATAATTTGATTTTTCACATGGTAACTTTCTTTTTCCTTTTTGTGTATCTGACTCTAACAAAGAGATCAGTGTGTCAAACGCAATCGTATGCGTTCCATCCAAAAAAGATAGGGATGTATGTGGGAGGAGGTCGGATGTGTCTAGTGTTTGCTGGTATCTAGATAAAATTATCTAGATAATCATGTAGATAAAAAAATGGATCATTTTTATCTTTAACCAGATGAAGAAATACAAAGTATCTTTATCTTTATCTTAGATGAAAAATATATGTCATCTTATCTAAAAATTGTCTAAGATGACGTTTTTATTATGCAAAAAAATTTTCCAGGCAAGCTTCTAAAAATCTATCTAAAATATCTAAAATATATTTTTCATATTATTATTATTAATATATTATAAATATGTTATTATTATATTATTAACATATTATAAATATTTTATAAATATAAATTAATAAATAAATATTTATCATATCATTTATATTACCTTTTTGCTATTATTTAAATATTCTTTAAGAAAAGAGGAAGAATATGTGTTTATGATTTTAATATCCCATTTATCTGCGTCACATTTTTCACAAATATTTATAATCTTCTAAAATAAAAATATTTAGATAATTATCTAGATTATTGCAATAATTATCTCATCTTTCATCTAGATTAAGTAAAAGTAAAATCATCTCATTTAAGATAAATTTACGGATTTTTATCTTTATCTTTATCTAGATAATTTTGAAATTATCTACAGCAAACACTGGATGTGTCTATACGTCCATTTGATCAACGAGCGACAGAATCCATCTGTGGCAACGGCATATCCTATGGAGAGAGCATTTTTCAGCCCAACTATATAAATAATAATTGCTAGAATAATTGCTAGAAAACAATATTCGCGGACTAGAAAAATATGTGAGCCGCAGGTTGGATAGGGAATACACAATACGCAATCGTGCAACGGCACCACTATTAGACAATGTGACCAATCTTCAAAATTAATACAAAGGTGCAGACTTCAAAATATTTATTTATCTCCAACAAAATGCAATTGTGAAATTGAAATGAGTTGTGAAAGTGAAATTGTGATAAGCAAGAAAGACGAGTTATAGATATTACAAAAATTAGGGACGATAATATGATATAATGATTAGTAATAAATGATAAGATAACGCAATCAAATGGAATTATAAGACAAGATATTTACTCATTACATGATTTGATATATATATATTAATAATAATATAATGGATACGCTACATATATAATATAATGGATGTAAGTAATAAATTGTATAATAATAATAATGGATGAAATATGTGATATAGATGTGAATTGAAAAGCATATTGTGTGTATAATTTAAAATTTTAAATTTATACTGCAAAAATTGAACACAGTTGAGATTTAAAACTGTGTAAAATTGAATATAATTGAAATTTAAAATTAAGATGTGTTGTGTTTCGGAGTGCAAATTGTTGTATTTGTTCGTTAGTTTACGAATAATGTTTAACGTCGTTGTGTCTTGATATTATATCTTGATTCCATGAACAGTTCGGAGTAGTAGTAGAAGATTCGAGTACGTCGTTGTGCTCCGTACACATCGGCCACACCTATGCTTCTCCGACGATCCGTCTCTCGGTCGGCCTTTTACCACTTCCCACTGTTGTGCACAGTCGCCCGAGCGATTCTCCGAATTCCATCCGGTGCAGGTGCCCTTGGCTAAGAGATAAGCCGGCCAGCGCGACTTCTAAGAAACGTATTTTCTAACAAGCATATATTAATGTTTAGCGCCTTTCAGAAGGCGCAATATACCCAACATTCCTCCCTTGCTTAAGAATGCTGTCCTCGGTAGGGGCGAGTTCCTCCCAATGCCTTGTAATCTGATCGAATTCGATGCGAAAGTCGTTCAGAACGACGAGCTGCTACTGGAGGTTGTGTGGCCCCGGAAGGATGTTCAAAACGACGAGCAGATGCTACTGGAGGTTGTGTGATCCCGTTGTTGAGAGGTTCTACCTCCTCTCTTCCTTCTAGCGAAGTGTGAAGTACTGGATCTGGTTGAATCCGTGCTGATTCTTTTCCGGAGGGTAGTAGATCTTCGCTAATCGTATTGGATTTCTTTTCCTGTATCTTTGGACGATTCCATATTTGATTGAAATGTCTAGTAATGAATCCTCCTTCAAAGCTGACGCGAGCGAGTGTTTTCCCTATCAGCTTAACAATTTTACCAGGAATACGCTGTCCATTGGAGAGTTGAATTAGTACCGATTGACCTATAACAAATGAACGTGGCCTTGCGCCGTGATAAGCGTCGAATTACTGTTTCATTTGCTTCTGCCGAGAAGTGAGACTTAGATTAGGTTTTTCGGTTGCAGTAAAAATATCTAATGGAGTTCTAAGCTTTCGTCCAAAGAATATTTCTGCCGGAGACTTATGATCTAGTACCGCATCACTGGGTGTGTAGTTGTATGCGTAAACAAACTTGTTTAATTCCGTTTCTAACTGTGAACTTTGACTTGTGTCGATAGAACTTTTCAATGTTCTGACCATTCTCTCGGCTTGACCATTTGATTGTGGATGCCCAGGAGGGGTACGCAGGTGAAGAATTCGAAATTCGGCGCAGAGTTGCGCGAATTCTACTGAAGTGAATTGAGTACCGTTATCTGAAACTAGTACTTCAGGAGGTCCATATCGACTAAAGAGTCTTCGCAGATATCGACATGTTGCTGCCGATGTTGTAAAGAACCATCCTGCTTCTATGAATTTGGAGTAGCTGTCGACAATGACGAGTACCCATTGTCCATGTATCGGGCCTGCGAAATCAATGTGAAGGCGTGACCATGATTTCTCTGGATTTGGCCATGGATGTAATGGTTCTTTTACTGGGTTGCTTGCTGTGCGATCGCAATGATTACATTCTTTTACGTATCTCTCGATGTTATCATGCATCGCCGGCCAATAGAAATAACGTCGAGCAAGCTGTATCATCCGGCGGATACCTGGATGTGCAATGTGTAGTTGCTTCAGTACAGTAGATTGTAGACGTTTAGGAATTATTAGTTTTTCATTTAGAACTAATGTATTATCAACTATGGCTAAGTAATCGCGACGACGATAATATGGCATTAACTCCTTGTCAGTTACGTCCGATTTGAGCCATCCATTTTGTAGACGATCTATAACCTCAGCGAGAATTCCATCGCTAAATGTTGCACTTTGGAGCTCTTGTCGAGCCGTTGAAGGTAAGAACTGTACTGATTCGTTGACAATCTGTTGTAGCTCTGTATCTGTTTCCTGTAGCGCAGCTACAATTTCTTCGAGGTCGGCGTCTATTACGTCTTGTTTTACATCCCGTATTAATCTTGAAAGAGCGTCCGCTTGACCAAATTTTTCGGAGTTGACATATTCTATGTCAAAGTCGTACCCAATTAGTCGAAGAGTCCATCGTTTCAAACGATTTGCTGTGCGTGTATCTAGATCTTTTGTATTCGACGTTTTAAACTGGAAGTGGATGATGGTCCGTTTGTAGCACGAAGTGACGACCATATACGAATTTTCGAAAACGTTCAACAGCAGTGACTAATGCTAAAGCTTCTTTTTCGATTTGACTGTAATTCTGTTGAGTCTTTGTTAATGCTTTTGACATGTGAAAGACTGCTTTTACCTGGCCATCTGGGGCGCGCTGTAACAAGACGCCACCAATTACGATCGAACTAGCGTCTGCTGCAACGATCAGAGTTTGTCTGGGATCGCACGCTTTGCGTGCAACTACTATGGGCGCAGCCCATTCCGAAAAGTCGACTGGCGTTAAAATTCCATTTTTAACGAGTCTATCCAGTTCCTCATTGACTGGTTCTTCTAATGCAAGCGCGATTGGACGTGAAATGTGTTTCGGTTTCGCATCTGGTTTAAGCCGCAGATGAACCGTCATCTTGGTGCATTCTCCTGTGGAATTACTAAAAAGTTCTGTGAATTGTTTATGAAAAGAATTTACCGCAATCGTATTCATCATTTACAGATTTCCGACGACTCCTGTATCGTAGGTAATTAAGCCAAGCTCATCTATTACTTGAGAGCTAAGTAGTGCAGTTTCTGGACGATCAAGTACGATGACTTGTGCTTTTATCATACAGTCTTTGTAGCCAAGTGAGGCGTTAAAAAATCCTATAGTATGCATTGGATGTCCTGAAACATTCACACATGAAGTAGTAAGAGGTTGGAGTTTTGGATGACCGATTCGTGTTCAAGTTTCTCTCCCGATCGTAGTTACGTCCGCTCCTGTGTCCAGCTGCATTTTCAATGGCTTGTTATTGATAGTAATGTGCGCGAATTTGCGATACCGATGTCCTGTGCCTAGAACACCTTGTAATGTGACAGTATTTATTTTATTTCGTTGCTTCGATAAGCAAACTCTAGCAATGTGTCCCGTTTTTCTTGCAGATTCTACATGCTGCATTCTTAAATGGACATGCCGTCTGTGTTTTGTGGAACCGCAGCCATAGCATGGCGATAATGTAGTAGAATTTCTCTTTTTCTTGTAATGCAGTGTAGTAGGATTTGTTTTCTTTTCGTAATATTTATCTTTCTTTTTAGATGAATTCTTCGTAGATTGGCTGATCGCGTTGATTTCGGAGAAGCGCTGTCCTTCAATGCGCATGACGTCAGCCGTGCGGTTCGCATGTGCGTAGCAGATTTCTCTAATGTTTTGAAATGTGCAGTTTTCTTTTTCTGGTGCAACCTTGAAGAGAACTGTTCACTCCGTGTAGTAGGTGTGGTCGCTTAGGGCGAGAGCCGTTAGTAGAATTTTGAGCTGGTCGATATTGAAATTATCGAGTTCAAAGCCATCTCCTAAAACATTTACTTTGTCAAGTATTTCTATAGCCGTTGCTGGCGGGGAAGCACGAAAATTGAGAGCTTCAAAACGACATTGAAATAACGTTTTATTATCATGGAACTGTTTTCGAAGATGTCGCTCGAGATCGCCAAGAGACATCTCCTGCGGTTTTTTCGGCGATAAACGACTGAGTAATTGTTAATACTCGTCGTCCCCGAGAGCATTAAGAAGTAGCTCTTTGCACTCCGTATCGGTTAAACCTTTCGTTCCTTCCGCGAAAGTGCTATGTCGTTCAAACCATAACGTGAAGGTTTTACCCCTTATAGGGTCATGAACGAATTTACCAAGCCATGTAGCCAGATTTGCGAATTGCGACGACTTTGCATCCGTTCTCGATATTCGATGTGATATGCTTTTGTGACTCACCGATCTGACGTAATGTGTGCTCCTGGTTTAGCGCAGTTTCTGCTAGCGCTTGAAGTAGTCGGTCCATTTTCTTGCAGGTTCAATAAGTCGCAGCGGCAATTGTTGTGTTTCGAAGTGCAAATTGTTGTATTTGTTCAGTTTACGAATAATGTTTAACGTCGTTGTGTCTTGATATTATGTTTTGATTCCATGAACAGTCCGGAGTAGTAAAAGATTCGAGCACGTCGTTGCGCTCCGTACACGTCGGCCACCTATGCTTCTCCGACGGTCCGTCTCTCGGTCGGCTTCTTTATACCACCTCCCACTGTTGTGCACAGTCGCCCGAGCGATTCTCCGAATTCCATCCGATGCAGGTGCTCTTGGCTAAGAGATAAGCCGGCCAGCGCGACTTCTAAGAAACGTATTTTCTAAGAAGCATATATTAATGCTTAGCGCCTTTCAGAAGGCGCAATATACCCAACAAGATGAAAAATTTTTAATTCGAAACTAAAACTCCCAGTGGAATTGTTCGAAGAAATGCTGTTGTGACTATGATGAAACATAGCAGGATTGCTTTAATTGTATTAGATTGAAAAATAAGAATTATTGATGAGAAAGTGATATTTAGGTAATTTAAAACAGAGCTCGGCAAGAACTGCACATTTCGGCCGATTTTCAGCTAGCTCCGCCTAGCGCGTCCCCCCTTACCTCGCCGTCCCGCGTAAAGCCAACGAGCCACTCGGCGCTCAGGAGCGGGCGTATGGCAATAGCTTTCCACGTCACTCATGAGGTACTATTGTTGACGCGTTTTTTTTAAGTAGTATCCTCGGTAGGCCTAATCCACTGATGACTAAAACGACCCTTTAACTAATTGCACGGAATTATAAATAATAATTGATATGATGAATATTTATGACTTTCGGGATTTTTTACAAGCGAGATCAGGAACATCTATTTGCATACGGCATGTAGCAAATCGCATAAGATGTGATAAACTTTATCGTCTTATGCAATTAGTTAAAGGGTCATTTTAGTCATCAGTTGATTAAGCCTACTGGGGATACCACTTAAAAAAACGCATCAATAATAGTATCTCATCTCGTGGAAAGCTATTGCCATACGCCCGCTCCTGAGCTCGTAGGCTTTGTGCGGGACGGCGAGGTAAGTGAGGACGCGCTAGGCGGAGCCAGCTGAAAATCGGCCGAAATGTGCAGTTCTTGCCGAACTCTGATTTAAAATATAACAGGGCTAGAAAAGATTAAACAAAAATAATGAATGACTTTGATAACTATACTACATCGGCGATAAGGCGAGAGTTACGAAGAAGAGAATTACTTACGACGGGCAATAAAGCGACCCTCTTATTGAGATTAAAAAATGCTATAGAACTTGAAATGAATCAGCCAAATGCTGCAGAATTCTTTGCGGATGTTGAAATATCAACTGAGCAAGTCGATAGTGTAAATGAAGAGAACGCTAATTCAACAGAAAGAAAAGCAGAACAATTAGCGAATGAGTCAATACAACAAGAACTCGAATCCGTGAAACAAGAACTTGATTCTATTAATGATGAAAAGGAATCGCTGCAACAAGAACTTGAATCCGTGAAACAAGAATTTGATTCTATCAAACGTGACAAGAACTTACTGCAACAGGAAGTTGAATCTGTAAAACGAGAACGTGATTCGACACAACGTGAAAAGAACTTACTGCAACAGAAACTTGAATCTGTAGAACGACAACGTGATTCGACACAACGTGATCTAAGATTGCTGCAACAAAACTTCAATAACCTGGAGCATGATTATAATAGATTGAAGCAACAACAAGATCAGAGTATGTCTTTATCCCTTGAGGTTCAGCCATCAACATCGAGGGTTACTTCGACAAGAGACATGCCTCATGAATTTAATAGAAGAAATAATTGTAAGTAAAGTTGATGTGTTATTATTAAGTTTACAATAAAAATAAAAATGATAAAGCGAATATATCGATTATTATTAGATGACAGATTCGAAAAATCAAGACATCGAAGGACAAAATGGAGAAATCTATCGGAATTTGAGAAAGGTTACAGGCGAGAAAGGCCGTACTAATATAACAAGATCAATCATCTATGTATATTTCAAGCAATATGTATTTCAAGAAAAATAATAAATCTATTATAATAAATCTATTATATATAATGTTTATCATTTTCCTGAATACAATGACGTCGAACATTTTCAATATTTATTACTCAAGGTAACATACTAAGGGTCACATTAAAACCAAATGTAAATAAGCCTAATTAAACGACATTGTCGTCTACAATAATTAATTCTAAATTTTTCCTTGTGTATCATCATAATTCCTGAAATAAACATTTCCACACCTATGTCCATATAACATTTTTTCATCCTTTAGGTGTGAGGAATATCTCTTTAAATTTCTGACATATCTTTTTAGAATACTCTGTATATTAACAGAATTGGCTTCTCGTTCATATATTTTGTTTTATGAAATAAATTAGTGTATATAATTTTTATATACAACTAATTATTTTCTAATTTCCTATTACATAATTTTATATTCTATTATATTCCATATTTATCATTTTTCTCTCTTGTGTTGTTTTTTTTATTATGTATTATGATGATTGCTTCTTTTTTTCCCTTTTCTCATTATATAATATAAAATAAGAAAATTGTTAGAAGAACAGCCTGATGTGAATAATGAAAAAAAATAAAAAAGTAAGTAATAGGAACTTTTTGCAAAAAATTTTGGTATTAGATACATTATGACTCTGTGAAAATATTACACGAACGTCGTGGAACAAGAAATCTATAAAAAAATATCTTTTTAAAAAGAAGATAAGAAAACAAGTAAAATCACTAAATATATGAAAAATTCAGGATGTCTATTTCCTGGAAAAACCGAGAATTCTTAGAAATTTCTTTTATATATATATGCAAAAATCAAGGAATTTTCATATGATTTATTGGGATTTACAGAAATTTTTAAATAAATATTTCTTTGATTTGGCTTTTACAGTAAGTAAAAATTTTGTAAGCACTCTCGGAAATAGGTCAAGTTATGAATTATGTATTTAAAATATATTGTAAATATATATCTATCTCTCTGTTTATATATTCATTGCCTTAACAAACTATTAAAATTAGAATATAAAATATATACAATATAAATTTCTTTACTGCAATTGTTAGTGATAAAAAAAATATTTTTTTTTCATTTTTTTAAAAGTTACAATTTTTTTCAATATATTTTTTGAAAGCTATTCAGTTTTTTAGTATATTTGCAAATCTAACATTTAAAATTTAAGTGGCTCTGTATTTTTTCCTTATATGAACGAAAAAAAATTAAAAAGCGCATGCAATAAAAACTTTAGAAAGTTGCATCAAAAAATCTTTAAAATATTCTCTATCTAGAATGTAGGACAAAAAATCCGAGAATGAGGAAATTTCCAGCGAAATTTTTTCACAAGATTTTAGTAGATATTCTGAATAAAAAATAAAAAAATTATAATGCAATAATAATAAAGAATTAACTATAATCTTTCAATTATGCATTTTATGATTTGTCATTTAATCCATCGTCGAAAAGATTTGCATGTATACATGGATTATAATCTACATGAAAAAGACTTTTTCTAAAAATTATTTCAAAAATTATTTCTAAAATTTATTTTAAAAATTATTTTATTTAAAAATAATCTTCTAAACTGCTGGGGTCTATAATTTGATGTGATTTTTATAAAAATTAATTGCATTCTTAAGAGAGTCTGTCTGACATTTTTCCTGCCAAATAGTAGTTTACTTATTATTTTAATTAGAAAAATCTGTTTATATTTGTAATTGTGTAATTTTGCAGGTTGCTCAGTTGGAAGAAGATAAGAGACACTTAGACTTCATGGCCAGTATGCGGCAATATGATCCGGATCCATCGACAGAAGATGAGAATGCTAAAGATCGACCAAAGGACGATCCCGTGGTAGATCTCTTTCCGGATGACGATGCAGATGATCGTAATAGCAAATGTAGGCGAATGTAAACTTAAAGTATTACAAAAGAGTAAAACTTTTAAAAATATTTTCCAAAAATAATTCTATGTTTTTGTGAAAAATTAACAATAAATATGAAGAATAATAATTTTTAAAATAATCATTGCCATGATAATAAATAAAAAATTATTTTAAATAATTAATTTTAATAAATTTTAATAAATATATATTTATATAATAATATATATTTATATATATTTATATATTTTAATAAATATACAGAGTGTCCCAAAAGTCCCGGACCCGTCGAATATTTCATAAACGATGCACTTTAGAAAGAAATGTTTCAAACAAAAGTTGTATGGCTTGAAGGGGGCCATCAGATAGTGGCAATGATTTGACATGGGAGAGTCATTTGAAAGTCTCGTGAAGATTACCGTCAATTTCTTAAATGGAACCCCCTATTTTTTATGACATATTCGTGTAGCTTATCTCGAGAGCTTTCCATAACACTATAATAAAGTATTTCTTCATTGAGTACTTTTCGAGTTATGAGGCTTGAAATCATTTCTTAATTTTGCATAAACCATAAAATATTTAGTAAAATATTCATTTTTCGATTATCTTACCTTAATACTTTTATGTATAAAATAATGAGAGAAATCAATTGGTGAGAGTAAAGAACACAAACATATAGTTATTTTAAAAAAGAAATATGTAATTTGCAATTAACAATTACATATTTTTTTTTAACAATTATGTGTTTTCTTTACATCAATTGATTCCTCTCATTATTTTGTACATAAAAGTATTAAGGTAAGATAATCGAAAAATGAATATTTTACTAGATATTTTATGGTTTATGCAAAATTAAGAAATGATTTCAAGCCTCATAACTCGAAAAGTACTCAATGAAGAAATACTTTACTATAGTGTTTTGGAAAGCTCTCGAGATAAGCTACACGAATATGTAATAAAAATAGGGGGTTTTATTTAAAAAATTGACGGTGATCTTCAAATGATGGTGACTTTCAAATGACTCTTCCATGTCAAATCATTGCCACTATCTGATGGCCCACCTTCTTCAAGCCATACAACTTTTGTTTCAAACATTTCTTTCTAAAGTGCATAGTTTATGAAATATTCGACCGGTCCGGGACTTTTGGGATACTCTGTATATTTATTATTTTAATAAATATATAAAATAAGGTTATTGCCTTTGTATTTATAATTTAATATAAAATAAGATAAATTGTGTAATAAAATCAATTTATTACAATTGTAATTCTTTATTAATATAATTTCTTGTTCATTTATTAATATCATTTTTTCTGTATTTATTAATATCATTTCTTTTTTATTTGTTAAAATTCTTTTTATAATTATAACTTTTAATGGAAATGAAAAGTTACAAAACATCCATTAACGAAAATTTTGTCCTTTTTCAGCCATATCCCCGACTCCGCCATCGCAGTTTGCCCAACAAGTAAATGCCGGTTATGAGATACCGGCACGTCTGCGCACATTGCATAATTTAGTGATTCAATATGCAAGTCAAGGCCGTTATGAAGTGGCAGTTCCTTTATGCAAACAAGCATTGGAAGACTTGGAAAAGACATCCGGTCATGATCATCCCGATGTGGCGACTATGTTAAATATCCTCGCTCTTGTATATCGAGATCAGAATAAATACAAGGAAGCCGCGAACCTCCTGAACGATGCATTAGCGATTCGAGAGAAAACATTGGGTGAGAATCATCCCGCGGTGGCAGCAACTCTGAACAATCTGGCGGTGCTGTATGGAAAACGAGGGAAATACAAAGAGGCTGAACCCTTATGCAAGCGAGCATTGGAAATCCGCGAGAAGGTGCTAGGTCGCGATCATCCGGATGTTGCGAAACAGCTAAATAATCTAGCGCTGTTGTGTCAAAATCAGGGCAAGTATGAGGAGGTGGAACGCTATTATCAACGTGCCCTCGAGATCTACGAGGCTAAGTTAGGTCCGGATGATCCGAACGTTGCTAAAACGAAAAATAATCTGGCATCTTGTTATCTGAAACAAGGGAAATACAAGGACGCCGAGGTGCTATACAAACAGGTGTTGACCAGAGCACACGAAAGAGAATTCGGCGCCATCGATGGCGATAACAAGCCGATCTGGCAGGTACTGCGAGAACGTACTGTGTGAATTAGTATCACATAGTCCAAACTGCAAATAAAAGCTTTATTTTTTTAAAGTCTTTCAAGAAGATAGAAACGGTAACTAAAAGTTCCTAAAATTGAATAAAAACAAAGAAAAGAATTATTTATAATTTATTTATTGAGTGATATCCTCTCTCTCTTCAAAACGATTCCTTTCATACTTTTACAATAATGATTATAACTCAGTTTTTTAAAGTTTCTCCGGAAGAGACTTAAATATTAACTAAAAATTCTTAAAATTAAGTGAAAACAAAAATAGTTATTTATAATTTATTCATTATAATATCACTTGAAACGATTCTTTTCATACTCTTACAATTATGATTATAGCGTTTATAATTTAAAATTTTACCTCTGGTTGCATTTGAGACAAATACATCTGAAAACTTTTATTTGCATACATATCTTTAATAATTTTAAATAAATAATTTTAAATAAATAGCTAGTATATATGAGAAGTTGTAACAAAAATACTTTAAATAGTAATATTTGTATCATAGTTATTAATTTACGAGCGTTACTCAAATTAAGAAAGTTAATAATCGAAAAGAGAAGAATAGAATAAAATACTTTTATATGTATGGGATTTATATGGGATTTTTTAAATTGTAATGCAGAAGAAAAAAAGATAAACAAAATAGATAAACATTACTTAAATTTTCTACCGCTTTATATTATTTGACTGAATAAACATTAAAATATTCCTTATTTTGTACATTGGAAGAAAGAAAAGAAAAAAAGATTATTTATTGTGAACTGTATTTTAGAAATAAATTCTTTATAGAAATAAATATGAATATAGGTAGAAATATTTAATAGAAAAATATTCAAAATATGTACTGAAATATCAAATTTATTGACAAAATTATAATACAAATACACTTTAGCATAATTAGATATTTTTCCTTAATTATCAAAAATATTGAGATTCTTGCAATAATAAGAAAATGTGAATTGAAAACTATTGGGGAAATTTTATAAAAAAAATTAATATAATACGTCTTACATTTTTTGTTTAATTGTATATTCTCTTATATATAAATTAGCATATATTAGGCATTTATAATTTGAAAACTTTATTTTATTTTATATATTTAAACTTTTTTATATATACTTGTTTATATATCAGAAAATTAATTCTTGTAGAATTTGGATACATTTTCTTAAAAAATATATTCAAATTATATAAATTTGTATTGTAAATAATCAGATATATGTATGTGTGTGCGCGGATGCGCGCATGTGTATGCGTGTGTGTGTGTGTTCAATTAACATAACTTCTAAGAAATCTGAACAAAATCTGAAAGTTGTCACAAAATTTTTTTAGAATCACCTTTATAATATTTATTTCTTTATATTGCCATGCAATAAATAATGATGGTTATTATTAATTTGTTATCTTGCGCTATATTAAAAAAAAGATTATTATAATATTATTACAATATATAATATTATTATAATTATTAAAATATATTATATTAATTATTAAAATATATAAAGAACTTCGCACATTTTATGTGAAAAAAGTGGTTTTGGTTAAATTGATTGAAATTGAAATATGTTGTGATTTTGATCAAAAGTTTCTTCGAGCAAAAATCAAAAGTATAAAAGATACTATTTGAAGTGAGTGATATTAAATTAAAGATTTAAGAAACCTCTATTCTTGAATAAATAGATTAAATTAAAATATAAATTTGAAAAAAAATATTTATATATAATGTGTGTCACTTTTACAATTTTTATTATATTTAATTTAATTTATGTATTCAAAATAGGCGTTTTTCAACTTCAATATAACTTCAAATCATCGTATCTTTTATACTTTTGAGTTCCGGACTTTTTGCCCGAGGATTACCACTTAAATTACAACATATTTCAATTTTCAGCCAATTTGACCAAAGCCACTTTTTTCGTATAAAATGTGAGGGATTCTTTAAGATGCATAGCAATATTTTTCTATTATAATTTATGTTGTGTTTCACATTAAGAAATACTTCATAAGGCACTTTATTTTAAAATTAAGAAAATTCAATTTTCTCTATACATTTTGTCTCTCGAATTTTTTAAAAGTCTATTTTTAATCGATTTTTTCGATCTTGCGATCCTGTTTTAGGTAGCTGAAGAGAGGGAAGAAAATAAGCATAGAAATAAAGAGAACACACCATACGGTGAATATGGCGGTTGGCACAAAGCTGCGAAGGTGGATTCTCCAACGGTCACTACCACTCTAAAGAATCTTGGCGCGCTTTATCGAAGGCAGGGAAAATATGAGGCCGCGGAAACACTTGAAGACTGCGCCATGAGATCTCGAAGAGAGGTAGCACTTGCATTTATTAAATGAATTCACGTGTAAATAATGTAAAAACTAACAATATTTTTTACATTTCCCATGCAGCACGTGCAGCAAGTGAGTAATAAAAGTTACTTAAGGATTTTGAATTTAGTTTTAGAGTCCAGTGTTTTACATGGTGACTGCATTTTGCAGAAATAGAATTGTTTTTTTCCACCTGCTTTTCTCTCAAATTTTTTTTCATCAACTTTTTTTACAGTTTTAGAAAACTCTGACTTTTTTGTCGAAATTACATATATAATATATACAGGGTTTTCGAAAAGTCCGGAAACGGTTGAATATCTAAAAAATAAAGCATTTTAGAGAAAACTGTTTCAAATAAAAGTTGTTTGGTTTAAAGAGAGCTATAAAATGGTGGCAATGATTTAACCTTGAATGGCGTTGTCAAGGTCAGGGCAAGGTCACATGTTTTAAATGGAACTCCCTATTTTTTATTACATATTTTTATAGCTTATCTCGAGAGCTTTCCAAACACATAATTGAGTTAGTTTTCATTAAGTACTTTGCGAGTTATGAGACTTGAAATCATTTCTTAATTTTATATAAACCATAAAATATCTTGTAAAATATTCATTTTTCGATTATCTTACCTTAACACTTTTATGTACAAAGTAATGAGAGGAATTAATTGGTGTAAAAAAACACATAAAAAATGTAATTGTTAATTGCAAATTATATTTTCTTTTTCGAAACAATTATGTGTTTTCTTTACACCAATTGATTCCTCTCATTATTTTGTACATAAAAGTATTAAGGTAAGATAATCGAAAAATGAATATTTTACTAGATATTTTATGGTTTATGCAAAATTAAGAAATGATTTCAAGCCTCATAACTCGGAATGTACTTAATGAAAACTAACTTAATTATAGTGTTTTGGAAAGCTCTCGAGATCAGCTACAAGAATGTGCAAAAATATACAGGTTGTTCCATTTAAAAAATTCAAGGTGGCCTTCATGTAACCTTCCAGCGATTATTCAAGGTCAAACCATTGCCACCATTTTATAGCTCTCTTTAAACCAAATAACTTTTATTTGAAACATTTTTCTCTAAAATGCTTTATTTTTTAGATTTTCGACCGTTTCTGGACTTTTCGAAAACCCTGCATAATTTTTTTAACACACAATAACAACAGAGCAAAAAAGTATTAGAGTCTTATGATTATAAAGATTTTTATTGACACGAGAAGAAGTGTATTTAAGGCATTGGCAATATGCTAAATATGTTAAATAATCAATTTATAAATATTTAAGTTACTAAAAATCAAAACCATTAATTTCATAAATTAAAATTGGCATAATAATTAGAAAAGGAATATAATAAAACTGAAATTAAATGTTTGAATTGCAAAATGATATTTATATAATCAGTGTTTGCTGTAGATAATTTCAAAATTATCTAGATAAAGATAAAGATAAAATTCTGTAAATTTTTCTTAGATGAGATAAAGATGATTTTGCTTTTACTTAATCTAGATGAAAGATGAAATAATTATTGCGATAATCTCGAAAGATAATTATCTAGATATTTTTGTTTATTTTAGAAGACTATAAATATTTGTAAAAAATGTGACGCAGATTATAAATGGGATATTAACATCATAAACACATATTCTTTCTCTTTTCCTAAAGAATATTTAATATTATAAAGAAATAATAGCAAAAAGGTATATAAATGATATGATAAATATTTATTAATTTATATTTATAATATGTTTATAATATATTTATAATATATTAATAATAATAATATAAAAAATATATTTTAGATAGATTTTAGATATATTTTAGATATTTTAGATAGATTTTTAGAAGCTTGCCTGGAAAACATTTTTGCATTATGAAAACGTCATCTTAGACAATTTTTAAATAAGATGACATATATTTTTCATCTAAGATAAAGATAAAGATACTTAGTATTTTTTCTAAAGTTAAAGATAAAGATGATCCATTTCTTTATCTAGATGATTATCTAGATAATTTTATCTAGATAGCAAACATTGTATATAATTGTATATACACTGTATACAAACATTGTATAATTATACAGTATAATTTATACAGTCATTTCTTATCTCTTTTTACAGGCATTGGAATTGGTAAATAAGGCGCGAGTAGCTCAACTGCTGGGTGACGAGAAGAGTTCCACCAGGCGCGGCTCCCGGTCAAGTTTAGCCAATAGTGAACACGAGCAGAGTCACGAGGAGGTGAGTCTTCCCTCTTTATTTCTTTCTACCGTTCGTCATCTCAACGTATAAATTAGCAGTACGCACTTCCGCATGCCATGCAGTAGCTGACACGAACACTTATAGTTGTCTACTATCCTTTTCTTCTTTCTTTTTGTTCTTTTTTTCGTTCCACCTCGTCGTCCGTCTCGTCCGGCACAACTTGATCGAATTCTGATCGAATCCCATCGACGACCTGCTCACGTACGCATGCGAACACAATCGAATGCAGGCGAATAGCTCGCTGCCGCTAGTGCAAAGGGCGCTACACGAGGGACAATCGGCGACAGGCAGCAGCCAGCATCAACACGACGCTAGTCCTAATAAACCCGGTTTTAAAAACAAGATCTTCCAAGCTTTCGGTATTCACACATCATCTACGTAGGCTAAGCGGATACCGTTTTCTATTTCTAAACCCTTTATTCCGCCTGTATCGTTAGATTCGTTCTCTTCAGCTGCGTCTTTTATATTTTCTCCGAGTTTTCATCTTCCTTTTCCCTTTTTTTCATTACTCGATTATAATATCAATTTTATTTTGACGGAATAAATTAACGTAACTGAAGAGAACAGATCTATAAATGTAATTTAAAGCTAAAGAAAACGGATCCATTTTAAATGTAATATAAATTAATGAAAACAAATCTATGTTATGCTTTCGTTCGTTCGCCAGTTAACGATTTTCTCTAGTAAGGCGTCATTGAATAGATAGATATATAGAACTTTTATAGAATGAGCAACTTTTTAAGTGAATTTGCAAAGAAAGAAAAAAGTTTACTTAATTTCAGTTCTTAAAGCTAGCATACCTAACAATTATTCATGTCACACACAATCAAATTGATTCTTCTGATATCTCTTAGTACTATAAAGTAAAGCAAAACATGAAAATTATTAAATATTTGAAAGATAATTATTAAGTAGAAAATTATTAAGAAAGAAAATTATTAAGAAAGAAAATTATTAAGTATTTGAAAGATAATTAATTAAATTTGAAGTGCAATGTTAATATTGAAAATGTTAGAAAGAATAAAGTATTAAATTTAGGATTTGTTATAAATTCTAAAAACTTTACAATTATTTCGGATCTATTCATATCAGATTATTATTATTAATTTATTATAAATAATTATATATTAATATTAATTTGAATATTTAACTATTACGATAAGTCAATAATAATAATTTGATAGATTATATATTAATTTATCATAATTTATTTTCATGTGTAAAAATAATTCTCTTTATGCATATATAGGATACAAATCTGTTTAGATATAAGAATCTCAAACATTAAGAAAAATTATTATTGAACCGATAGGAAAAAAAATTAGAATTGAACTATAATAATAAAGAATTATAATTGAATCATAATTAAAGCAACTTTAAAGAAGAATTCAAATAAAATATCAATCGAGGTATGCCGGATTATAAAGTATAATATATGATAATATCCAGATATAATGAATAGTATGTCATATTAATACACTCTGAGTACGTCTAATTTTATGTGATAAAGCATATGTGACGCCTATAGTATAATTTTTTTTTTCGAAATGAGAGTATAAACTTTAATATAAAATTATTTTACTAGAGCCCTCTATAATTATTAATGATAATGCGGCGATTTATTTTGAAAAATTTTATTTTACAAGCCTATGTAGTATATTTATAATTTTTTTCTTTTCACTAAATATGTGTATTTTTTCTTGCTTTTATATACTTTATAATTCTTTTTTTTTCTTTTTGGAGAAACGATAAAGTGACGATGCATTTCTCTTTCTTCGTGTGTATGTGCATGTATATATACATACATGTGTGTGCGTGTGCGTGTGCGGATACGTGTGTGTGATTATCTGTGATATTAAGTACGTAAGAAAGTTTTGGTTACGAACAGTGTTTGCTGTAGATAATTTCAAAATTATTTAGATAAAGATAAAGATAAAAATCTATAAATTTATTTTAGATGAGATAAAGATGATTTTGCTTTTACTTAATCTAGATGAAAGATGAGATAATTATTGCGATAATCTAGATAATTATCTAGATATTTTTGTTTATTTTAGAAGACTATAAATATTTGTAAAAAAGGTGATGCAGATTATAAATGGGATATTAAAATCATAAACACATATTTTTTCTCTTTTCCTAAAGAATATTTAATATTATAAAGAAACAATAGCAAAAAGGTATATAAATGATATGATAAATATTTATTAATTTATATTTATAATATATTTATAATATATTTATATTATAATATATTAATAATAATAATATAAAAAATATATTTTAGATATTTTAGATAGATTTTTAGAAGCTTGCCTGGAAAACTTTTTTGCACAATGAAAACGTCATCTTAGAGAATTTTTAGATAAGATGACATATATTTTTCATCTAAGATAAAGATAAAGATACTTTGTATTTCTTCATCTAGTTAAAGATAAAGATGATCCATTTCTTTATCTAGATGATTATCTAGATAATTTTTTATCTAGATACCAGCAAACACTGATTACCAATTTGCGAACGCGCGGTATAATTGAAACATTTTTACGTATTTTACCATTAGATAGTCATATGCAGGCTATAATCATCGTTCTCCGATTATAGGATATTCTATAAAAATTGCATTTATATGAGACTAATATTTCAGATAGAATCTGCTTATATCAAATAGATATAAGAAATAACTGGATTGTAATCTGAATACGAGATGTAACGAGCAATATAGCAAATAGTGATGGACGTAAAATGGATAGGCACAGAAATATGTGAAATTTAATGTTGTAATAAGCGCATAAAATATTTGAAATTTAAAATGATATATATTGATATTAATATAAGATATATAAATATTTTATATAACATTTTGCAAGGAAAAAACTACATTACAAACTGTAATATAGTATTACATTCATCTTATTTCGCTTTTTTTATTTGATTATACCTTTCTTGCTTGGAATCACTTTACAGCCAATCCAGTCATTTTCTTATGTCTATAACTCATGCAAATCTCTATAACACAAGCAAATTGCAACAATCAAACATATTCACGTTGCACTTAATTAGAAGAAAGAAATCAGAAATCGATAGAAATTTAAAAGTAGAAAATTTATTTTAAAAAATATTTTAATAAAAAGTATTAATAGAATGTAATTGTATTTTTTATCGGCAAAAAATAGAATTTGTCAACACAATATAAAGCTTTCATGTCTTGATAAAGAAAACGGTTTTATTTCTCTTTTTTTCGACATGAAACAATTCACATGTCGTTCAAAAAATAGTATTATGCGAATAGCTGCTTTGCTTAACTATATAATGCAGTATAGATTCGCAAAGACGACGTGATTTCCCAAAGAGAGAAATGAAAAAATATCTTAATAATTAAGTGGTTTCGATAAATAACAGAGAAAGATTGTTTAGATAATAATTTTCAATGTATTCTGATTTTTAATTATTATAATACAATTACATAATAAGTCACTTACGATGCAGTTTAAATAAAAATCTAAATCTGTTATATAAATATTGAAAATATGTATTTAAATTTTTTAAAGTTAAACAGAATATATAAAAAGCAGGAATATATAAAAAAATATTATAAGAAGTGAAATCTTTTTCTGATTTTTATTTAATTTGTATCGTAAAGATTTCTTGCGAGTTTGCAATGCAATAACATATATCTTGTGTAAATATCTCTACAATAATTGCAAACGAACGTCTCGAATGTGTGTCTGTGTGTTATAAAAATATCGATTTTAAAAAATTCAATATGACTTTCGGCGAGATACTCTCATCGCAATTCATGTAAGATTTCAAACAAGATTGTAGAAATCTCTTAAAATTTATGGCACATATATTGGGTGTTTGGAAAATATATTTTATTAATAATAATAATAATAATAATTATATATATATATATATATATATATATATATATATACAATTTTTTGTATAGAGAAAAATATATTTTAAATATATATATTTGGATAAATATATATTGAATATATATTGAATATATTAGAAATATACTTGAATTATATTTGAAATATATTTCACAGAAGCAAAAAAACGACATAGGCAATATCTCTTGAATCTCTAATTGTAAGATCTCAATGGTGCATACAAAAAAACCTACTTTTTTGTTGACTTTTGCGTTGAGAGACATCAAGAGTATGTAATTTTGATTGAAAATAATGAGTTTTATATATTATATGAAGCGACACTTATTTTTCTTTAGCTAGAATAATTTGTTATATAATCTAATAATTATTTTATCATTAATCCAATTAATGATGGAGAGCTAATTATATGGTAAAAATAATGAAGGTAGTGCCTTGAGACTTTAATAAATAAAAAATAAATTATTTTCGAACGAAGACTCGCGCAGTTTCACTTGATTTTTATTCTATTTTGCAATATTTTGATATTTTTTTTACTCTATTACAGTTTTTTAAATTATGATGGAATATCATTCTATGACAATCTTGCTGCGCTCTGGAGCTGTCTCAGATCAATCAAATAAAATTAAACTTTAAATTTTTAAAAAGAGATATAATTATTAAGACCATTAAAAAACTTAAAAATTGAAAAAAGTTATAAATTATTACACTTTCAAAAACACACACATATAATAAAGAAAAAAAAAAAATGAAATCTCGAAATATTTCGATAAAGTGACATTTTTGAAAAAAATATTAATACAAAAGTAAAGTTTGAAAATGATGCATTAAATATTAATAATATTGAATATTGAGCGATATTCAGTAAAGATCAGTAAAGGTCAATGATGTAAAGATCCTAAATTTTTAAATTAGGGCCATGGCAAGTCAACCAAATCTGTTCAAATAGATTTTGTAAAATGTTTGTTACAAATTTAGTATACAGATTTATTATATAGTTTTAATATACAGATTTAGCACACAGATTTACTTCGATTACGATGATAGATTATCAACAGAACTGTAACAGAGCCTATTGACATAATTTGCTGTCAAATAAGTTATAATTAATAATTCCAAAATAAATGCATTTTATCAAGATATACTTGATTTGAGACATCTTGTGGACTCTTATATTGTAATTAGATGTGTAGAAAAAGTTCTAATCTCTCAATGGGATGTATTGTAATATGTTGATATAATGAATGTGCAATATTAATTTTATTCGCACGCAAAATTTATGCACTGTTCGTTCTTTGGATCAACGTTGTTGTTTTTATTGCGCTTTGATTCTTGAATATAAACTGAATTGGATGCAGAATACAAGATGACGATGACAGTGACGATGACGCAGCGGAAATGCATCACTTCTGGATGACAGATGGATATATATATATATATATATATATATATATATATATATACATATATACATATATAATAATAATAAGGTGCGTATTTTTCTTCGTAGAATTAAAAAATTCCTCGTTTTTACGTTTTTAGAACACAACTATAATAGACGATAATTTTTTCCAATTATTCTTCTCACTTAATTTTTTTTTTCTTAAATCTTATATAAATTTTGTTTTATTTTTTAGACAAACAAAATATTATGTACTAATAATATTGTGGAAGCAAGTAGATAAAGTTGGTATATTTTTATAAAAAATGTATTTATTGCATATAATGGATGAAAATATGCGCTTCCATATGTATCTTTTACCTTGAATAATTTACATTTAATTTTTGTCACTTGCTTCTTCAATTATTGATTAATTGCTGTTTATGAAATTCACAGCTATGATAATAGTGTAATAACAATATTAAATATATAATTTATTATGTAGTAATAACACACTATTAAATACAATAAATATAAACTGCAAAACTGAATATTAATATGAATATTTAATAATCATGAATATTTCAGGATAACATGCAAATTTGCTATTATGTGGA